GCGGCGGAAATTTGGAGACTCATCAACGGATAGCTGAATGCTATCCGCTGCGATCCAGCGGGTGATCGCTGACCGCATTTGCTGCCACGGGGCGGTTCCTGTGGCAAAGGCCTCCTGCTGCATGTAATGTGCCACTCCCACCTCGCGGCCCTCCTCAGCCGTCCGCGCAAGAAACTCAGCCATGGGAAAAGCGACACCATCCGCCCGTGCTTTGTTTGCCAGCTCCACGGCAACGGACAGCATCCATCACGTGACCTTGTGGTGCCCCATATGCTTTTCTGCAGTCGAGAAGGATGACGACTTGAAGGAAATCCCTTTGCTGCATATGCAACAAATGATCTTGTTGTGGCCGTCTTCCTTCCCCGTAACACTGTCGTATCTTGCAAGGATGCCAGGCCGCCCCTCCTCTTCCACATACAATGGCTTCACCCACCGGCTGCCGCTCTGCCCAGGCCCCAACGGTGGGGCCACACACCTATTGCTGCCAGAGGCGACCCCCACCCCCTCCCTCCGTTCGGGCCCGCTTTGCCCCTGAGGGTGCATTCCCGCCCTCGCTGCCGGCCGCGCGCTTCACCCCGCTTCCAGAGGCGGCCCCCCGATGCCGTCAACGGGCCCCCAGGTGTCGCCACTGGCGTAGATGCAGCCCCCACCCTGCCACTCACTGACGCGCCCTTGGGATCCCCGGCTGGCAACAGCCCTTCAGATGCCCCAACAGCTGGGAGCTGTTGTAGGTTCAGAGCCCCCTCCTTGCTGGGTTCCAGATCCGGGTCCCCTAGCTCCCCCGCCCCTAAATGCACAAAGTCAAACAGGTCCGGGAGTGGGGCGCTGCCGCCAACAAACGCCCCCTGGCCTTCCCCCCCTGCCGCTGCCACTGCCATCCCCGCATGCCCGGATCCCTCACCTTGGGGGGTGGGGGACCGCCTTTCTGGGCGCCCCTCTGTCTAGCCCCGGGCATCCCCTGCCGCAGGCTGTGGGGGGCCGCCTTGGTGACGTCGGGCCGGGGGCCGTGACTCCCCAGCCTTTAGATGCCGCCGCCGCTGCGTCTACTTGGTTTTGCCACCCATCGCAGCAGGCGCAAACTGTGCTGCAGGGGGGCAGGGGCAACACGTTTATGGCCCACGCGTCAAATCTCATCGCTGCATTATTATTGGTTCACGCATGAATTTGATGTTGTTATGTATTGTGGAACGGCTTCCAGAACGGGTTCCAGGACGGCCTGGGACGGCCTTCGGAACAGCCTCGAACGGACTCTGGACCGGTTTGGAATGGACGTTGGACAGGCCTGGGGCAGTACAGGAACGGACTCCTAGGTGGGCAATACTGCCCTGGAACGGAATTGGGACGGTTGAACACCTTCCCAAATCCGTCCCAGTCCGTTCCAGCCCAGGGACGGATCCGTCCTTGGCCGTTCCTGGGCCTACAGGCCCAAGGACGGGGACGGACTCTGGTCCGTCCCCGTTCCCATCCCCGTCCCCGTTCCGGGACGGCCCACCTCTGTATGGGGGCCCACTCGCGCCACCGGCAGGGGCCGTTCCAAGACAATGTGGGCTGCAGGAATGAGCGCCCGCAAGGGCGAATTAGGTGGCACTTGTCCCGCCTCGAGACCAAAGATTCCCGCCACCGGCGGACACCGTTCGACGCCACCGCAAGAGGTGGGAATGGGCGCCCGCAAGGCCCTAATCCATGGCTACATCTCGCGCCCAACAGGCTCTCAGACACGCTACCCACGGGGCCCATGCGCACCAACAGCATGGCCTCCCAGGTGGTCATTCTCACCGGAGCCCGCTGCCAATCCAGGCAGGTGTGAGCGTTGGGAGCGGGCGCCTACGAGGCGCCACACACGCATGCTCGGAGGCCGCTCTCACCACCCGCTTGTGCCACATGCAAGCCCGAGTGCACGGGCTCTTGCCAGCCTAGCGTGCTACCTCGTGCCACATTACCTGGCTCCTCCATTCACTAGCCTGCTGTACATCCTACAATTTGATTGTGTTGCACGCAGGACGTGGAGTTACAAGGGCGGGGACAAGGCTTCAAGGACTATTTTATTTGGCACGGGCACACAACACATGGGCGCCTGTGTTGCCTCACAGGCCTGACCGTGCGACGTTACTGCTCGTCGGGTTAATCAGAGGGCACCATACGCACTGTGCGTGCACGTGTCTGGCCTTGTAAATAGTTGCAAATTGATGGCAGATGTTTCAACATTCACATCGCGTGTTCCCACAGTGTGTTGGACTACCTTGCATAGTTTGTGGTGGAAACCACAGAGGGTTGAGACTCTCAACTTGAGAGCGGCATGCCATAGAAACACACCCTTGAAACATACCATGCAACAATGCCAATGGCATATCAACAAAGGCTATCAAGAAGAAAGACAATTGCCAGTGACACAGAGCAGTCGCTTTACAAAGGTAAGGGCTCATTGTGCAAATCACGTTGGTATGCATATTCGCCAAATCCACGTTGGCAACATTGAACTCCACACAAACCAAGTGAATGATGGCAATAATTCTACTTTGAAACAAGCAACAAAGCAAGAAAGAGCTCTTGCAGGACAAGCAACATGTGGAGAAATGTAGGAAAGATAGCAGCAGAACTGCCAGTACTGTTGACAATACCATTGCGGCACAACCTTTGAGTGTTTGTCACTGCAATATTAGGCCAACTCGTATCTATCCAGGCATGCACGCTGCAACGATCACAATCATTTGTGGCAGACATGGCAGTTCCCATATTGCACAACATCACAGCCTACCTTGTCACCATATTATGCAACCTAATTATCTTACAGCAAGTAGTTCAGGCATGCTTTGCTTGTCATTCCCCCCATACTTAGGCCACTTCATGACGATGCGTTTCCTCTGCAATCCTGACACCCCGTTCTCCAATGCCATACTTGACAGGGAGGGGGGCCCTCGCAAATGGTTGTGCTTCTGCTCAAGCTTTCACCTTGGGATTCAAGAATACTCAAGTTGTGTGCCTTGAACACTGCCACTCAGGCTGTGTGCCATCTCACGATCAAGGAAGTCTATCAGGCACAGCGGAGCCAACCCCATGAACCCTGCAGCTGTGACAGGAATTCACAACTTCACGTTGCTTCCTTGGATCGAATGCCACCAGCCCATTCGAGATTGCCCCCAAGCTTCCATTCTGCAGGCACCCAACCCGACTGCATCGTTCCCCTTCACAGCCTTGCCAGATCCATGACACCACCACAAGTTGCATGCATATTGCTCTGTGGCTTTCAGGAACAGCTGCTCCTTTGGACATTTGCAACATGCTGCTGGGCAATCACTGCAGCGGCAAGGAAAGCAGCAGGGTGTCGTGCGAGACCAGGGCTCTGTGGTTTTGTCATCTCTACTTGAGAACAATGTCAGATACTTGAGAACAATGTCAGACTATTGGGGCAGCCAGTCAGGGGCTGCAAAGTTGGTGGCCTTTGCAATGGTGAAGCCACAATTCAAACCACCAATGTAGGCGTTTGCGAAGCAAGAGTGAAATTGCCAGGATTCTGCTCCACACTGGAGAACAATGCACTCAAGACACATGCTCACTTGGTGGGAATTCATATATATGCTGAAAGCTGCTCGCAAAGTGGGCCCCACACACTTAGTGGTCATTGCAACATCACACACGACAGAATTTGCCCTATGTCACTGTTGGCACAATGGATGCGTGCATGCACTTTTGGAAAGTTGATGACACACATCTTCTGTGGGAAGCCCCTCAAAGGCTACCTTACAACAAAAACAATGAAGTAAGCTAGAAGACTCGACCAAAATTAGCAATGCAATATGGACGAACAGCTTGGAGGGCAATCATCGTGTCTCTGGGGCACATGTTCCATCCTTGTTTTGTTAATGTGCCTGCTTAAATCAACGCTTGGTTAACCATCGATAAAAGAGTGCATTACCTTCAGTCACTTGCAACAAATGCATTTAGGTAGCAATCAGGGGTGCACACATACAAGGATTCACTACAAGCCACTGCAATTAGATGCCGCAGGCACCCCTCTATGACAGAAAAGGATAGAAAAGAGGACAAAATGTCTGCTGATGCTCATACAGAGTACAAGGGCAGTATTGTCATCTCATGAACACAAGCCATTGTACTTTGATAAAATGTACACATTTTCTTCCATGCTTCCTTGCTCTTCTCTTGGGAGACTGCTACATCAGCTTCACACACATTTAAACACTTAACGAAGCTCAAGTTGGAGTGTTCATTTGCGACACATATTTCGTTCCATGACAGCGCAATCGTTAGGATGTTGATTCTGCACACAACGAGCAGTGACTCCCACCCAGTCTGAGCCAAATGCCGCCTGTCTAGACCTGCACAGCCCACATTTGCCACACATACATAACAAATTTGAATCGCATTTTTGGATGTCCTGACTTATGCGTAATTATTTCATCGTCACCAAAATGATTACTGTACCATGCCCCTTCACCTGACTACATGCACTTGCAACATGGTTGCCAACAAATTCTCGTCAACGGTTGCCCATGGTGCCGCAAAGTGCACTCTAGCGCCGTGCACCTTGACTCACAACATGCCTGCACTACAGCAACCATGTTCAGGCCACTGGCATCAGCTGCTTGCAAACATCAACCACAGCTTGTCCTAGGGACTTTGGCAGACGAGTGCCAACAGAGCATGGCTTAGGGACCACGCGCAGTTTGGCCAAACAATGATTTTACATGATACATTGAAATGCAACTTGCTTTCAAAAATAATTTGGGAACTGTCAAGCAAGCCTCCCGTGCAATTCCTCCAGCCACTTCCGCCTTGTTGCCAAGTTCCCTGACATGGGACCCATGTTTCAAAATTAGGAGACCCATTCCCCCCTCCCGCCCCCCTGGACCGTGTGCCTCTGATGGCTGGGCTCAAACTACCCGTATCTTAACAATGCCACACAAATGGGAACGTTCCCTATGGCCCTCCGTCCGACTCGTCCAGTTTTTAAAAGCTGATAGGTCCCATTCTTCCTTGCAATCCTACGTGCGCTGTGGCTCCGACCCATCCTCAGAAGTTGCTCTCTGGCTGCCCTCCCCGAAATCCTCTCCCCTCCCATGAGTGCACCCTTTCTGCACCCGAGGCATTGCCAAAGCCGGCGGAGCGGTGCTCAAATCTGCCAGCATGCCAAGGGCAACCTGTGGGCGGGGCACAGCCATCGCCACGCCATTCTGCACAGGGAAATGGCCACACTTGTCACTCACAACGCCACCGGCTGTGTTCTCAACAAGGGTTGGCACCTTGCGCACCCGCTTGGAGTCTGGCGACTCCAGGGGGCCTGGCGGACCCCTCTTTGGCGGCTTGGCAGCTTCTAAGGGCTCGAGCTCGTCAAGTTGGTACAGGGGGCCCATCTTGCAGATGGAGGTTGGCCGAGAGGCAGAGGCGCGCTCCTGGGCAGCCTCGATGAAGGATGCGGCGTCTGGGAACACTGCGAGGGCAGTGGCCACCATGGACTGCAACTCATCGATGGTGTGCCTGTGTGGTGCAATTGGAGTTAAAAAACTTGCACAAATTTCAGAAGAATCCGCTAAGCGCAATGTAACTGGTGTCAGTTTTACCCGCGTCGCTCACGCCCAAAAAGCCGAGTAATCCACAACCTCTGGGAAATTGGTGTTTTCGGTATGGCAAGGGCCGTCCCTTCCCGAGGGAAGCTGCCGTTTTGGGTATGGCGAGGGCCACCCCTTCCAGAGGGCGAAGCGCTGCCGCTCAAGAAGAGTTGGCCACGCTGATCAGATTGAAGGTCGGTGTGGCCAACCTCAAGGCCTAGGGAGCAGCAAAGTGTCCTCTGAAAGGCCTGATTGAGCATGTGTGTCGCCTGATCGGTTTCTTCGAGGCTGTGGATTATCGGGGGTGGGGGGGTGAGTGATGTGGATTAAAATTGTCACCAATTACATTTTGCTTAGCAGATTCATCTGAAACTTTGATAGCATACTCTATACTCATGCACCTTGTTGTGAGTAAATTCTCAAGGAAAACGGAACCTTACTGTGAAAACACAGTGCTGAAAACAGTTGGGTCATTTAATTTGGGACACAGGAAGTATTGCTTGTGCCACCAGTCTGCATGTTGCATTGCATTGGTGACACTACATGGCTTTTGCAATGCCCAATATCATGTTGAATCAAGTTCACACACCCTTCCCCCTCCCTTTTGTTGTTGTCAAACCTTACATTGATGACAAATCAAAACAAATACTTTGGTGATGACACCTTGGAACCGTACTCTTGGACTCCATCGTTAATGGAAATCTAAAAATATCTGGGGTTGTTGGCCATGCCAACAAATGAACCCAGACAGTAAGACGACTTGGGCGTTGCACCTATTGCATTGGCTGCGCAGAGCCCATATGCTAATTTTCTTTTCCTCCATCTGTGGATGTCAAACCCAGATTGAAAATCAAAGCATTTCTGGTCGTCTTCTTGCAAGTATTAACTCATTAGACCAACTAATCTGACTGTCACCACCACCAGCACTTTTATCAGCAATGACGGAATCACAATGGAGTCACCCGCAATAGACTGCATGCTGGAGAAATTGCTACACACGAATGACATTGCACAAGCAATGCTAATACATCGGCATGATAGCAATACAAAGGCACTTCTAAGCATAGGCTTTCGGGGCATTGCTTGCCGTCCTGTGGCAAATCTTGCAACGGTTGCATCTGACTAGTCTTGCACGCCGAAAACAATACACAAACCAACAACAGTACACCAACCATGCCAGTTGACCAATGACAGTTGACAATGCGATGTCATCAAACTGCAAGAGAAAAAGAAAGCAACCCCAAAAGCTTGCAAGTAATTTTGACATTTCCACAGTTTTAGGAACAACAAAGCAGTTGAAGTTGCCCTTCGCATAGTTCATCGTTTGGCACATCAACAACCACAACTGGAGTGAAGGGAACGAGGAGCCCGCTTCTCACCCCAGCCCCTGTTCCCCAACAGGATTCACATCTTGATCTCACCTATACAATAGAACACGATGCCCAGGGAGGAGACTTGCATGGTCCGGGCACACAGCAACTCCAGGGGCAACAGGAGAAACAACAGAAGACAAATACAGGTCGCCCTTGCAAAGCCCACAATCAACGTCCATGGTGTTCATGTGGATACCAGTGTCGTCTTTCTCATATAGCTCCCCTGACATCCTCCTTTCCTGTAGAAATGGGATATCATCAGATGCTGCCTCAACACCTTAGTCACAGAAGGGCAAAAGCTGTTGCTACCAATACAGCAGCTGTACAGTCTTTCAAGGTATTTGCAGGTTTTCCATTTGAGGCAACAGCCTTTGGGTATTCCATCACTACAATATGCATATGCACACTCATATCCATCTAGGCATCCCTGCTGCAACGATCCCAAGTACTTGTGGCAAATATGGCAGCTCCCACACTGCAAACAACAACACACTCCACCTCGCCACCATATTGTGCTACCCAAATTGTCTTGGGTCAAGGAGCTTAGGCATGCTTGCTTACCTTGTCAATCCCCACATCCTTGGCCACGTTACGACGACGGGTTTCCTCTGCAATCCTGACAACCAGTTCCCCAATGCCATACTTGATCGTTAGGGGACACACATCTTGGGTAGCAGGTTTCTTGCATCCCACACTGACACCTTGAGCAAAAGCACAACCATTTGCTAGGGGCCTCGAGGATGGTCCATCAGGCTCAGCGCAGCGATTGTTGTGAACCCCAAAGGTGTGAATAGAATCCGCAGCTCCACCTTGCCTCCGTGGATCAGCAACCAATTGTTCATCCAAGAATGAACCCAAGCTCGGCTTTTGCACTGCACCCAGCCCAGCACCACTGTCCCCCTTCACAGCCTCACCACTGCCACTGACCCCACCACAAGTCGCATTTTTATTGCAATGTGGCTCATGGGAACAGTTGCTCTCTAGGACATCCGCATCGTGCTCCTGGGTAGTTGCTGCAGCGACAAGGGACAGCAGCAGCGCGTCATGCGAGAACGTGGTCTTGTGGTTCTGCTGCCTGTACTTGAGAATAATGTCAGACCCATGGGGCAGCCAGTCGGGGGCTGCGAAATTGACCGCCTCTGCAACGTTGAAGCCACAGTTGAAACCACCATGGTAGGCATTTGGGAAGGTGAGGACAAAATTGCCAGGATTCTGCTCCACCCTGGACAGCAATGCACCCGAGACACATCATCACATTGTGGGCATTCAGTTAGCGGATGGGAAAACACTACGGTCACTACAACATCACCCGCGATAGAATTCATCCCAAGTAGGTGTTGGCACATTTGATGCATGCATACAATTTAGGAGCGCTATTGACACAATGCAAGTGGACGACCTCAAAGACAGCCTTGCAATAAAAGCAGCAAAGCAAGCAAGGATATTCCCCCCAAATAATCAATGCAATATGAATGCAGAACTTGAAGGGTACTCATGTCACCTCTAGGGGGCAATGTTCCATCCTTGTTTTGTTTATTTGTCTGGTTAAAACAGCACTTGGATAACCCTCAATGCAAAAGTGCACTACCTTCAGTCAGCTGCAGCAATGCATTCATGTAGCAGTCTAGGGTGCAGACATACAAGGGTTCATTTGAGCCACTCCAACTCAAATGCAATAGGCACCTCCTCTACAACATATAGCGACGATCAAGATGGGGATGTCAATTGTGACATATGTTTCCTTCCATGCTTTCACAATCTTTGAAACAATCTTTGAATGTCCTGCCTTGTGTGCATCATTTCATCATAACCCAAAACATCGGATGACCAATGGTTGTACCATGCGCCCTCACCTGACTACAGGCACACCCCGCGCCTGCAGCTCTGCTGGTGATAGGTGTGTCACGAGCCTGTGCAACAGGTTCGTGTCCACCTCAAACAAGTGTGGAAGTGCATCCCGCATCGCAGCCTCGAATTGCTCCACTGCATGCCCTGGCACGCCATACCAGACTTTGGTTGCACCTGTGTGCATGTAGTTTACGCTGTACAGCGCATGGTCCTCAATGTGCCAACAGAACGCCGAAAGGCAGGAGCCCACATACAGCCAGGGCACCATGACACCTGTGATGGGCTCATCGCCCACCACATGCTTCAGCACTGACTCGCGGCACTGGGGCCAACGGTTAATGTTCCAGGGATGATGCCTGCAAGATAAATGACACTGCCACAGTAAGGAAAACTCCCCAACAAAAGCGCTGGACAAAAAGCACATGCAAGCCATTCACAAGCCACATGCGGATCTACAATGCTGGGAAGACTTAAAAAATGCGCACTCAGTTCGTCAAGCCCTTTCCATCCAGAACATCTTGGACTTTCGATCAAATGGCAGCACAGGGTGCATCCACAGCACTGGTGAATGCCTAGGAGACTGGGCCAGAAACTGTGGCCTATCATTTTTGCATGGTATGAGGACACACGGAAGCTGCAACATATACTGTATGGCCTGCCCTGGCCTCAATCGTGCTATAATCTAACCCAGATACTACATCGCTTAATTTCAGAAGTGTGCACCTGCACTGGGTATGTGTTTTATTGCAACCCTCCACACTTCATGCCAAATAAGATGAGAATCCGGTCATGGTGGTGTCACCACAAGGTGATGAGCTGCAGCAGTGACAGCAAATGGTCATTTTCTTTCTTGGCTGCAGCCACGCTCTCCAGCTACAAGAAGAAGCAAATGATGGACAGATGTGTGGTCTGCGTTGTCCTGTCATACCTGTTGCCATTTTCGTAATTGTCTTGACGATGCAGGGCTACAAAGTAGATGTGGACAGTGTGCATGTCCTGATTAGCATTGTTTCATTGCCCTGCAGAATGTGGTACATTCATGCCATTTGCATGCCTTTGACATGCCACTGATGAGATGCAGCTCAAGATTACTCCATGGGAGCTTCAGTTTACATTCCTGAGTGGCGTTCTGACTTACTGAAGTTCCTGCACTGCATCAACTGTTGGGGCAACAATGATGGGCCCACCACAATTCAGCACTAATTTCCAGAGCCAGATGTTAATGTTGCTGTTGCAGAGAGGATAATGCATGGTTGATCAGCTGTGGACATTGTGGTCCACGGAGTCCGTGTTTTTGTTTCCTTTGTCAGAGCAGTGTGACTCAGTAGCTCACATCTGCTGTCAGAATACGATGAGCTACGACAGCAGAATAATCAGTTCTCACCATTTGACCATCAAAATACACCAAAATCACAAATACACTAAATTCACAAATGATTGTAACCCCCACCAGGCGGAAGTTGTCTATAAAGACAAGATCAGTTCTCATTGATTCACACATTATTCACTGCTATGTTCTCTGCATTATACTCACTGCATTATTTACTGCCATTATTTACTGCTATGTTGCCGAACTAGAATGGACATGAGGACAATTGATCTATCCCATCAATCTGCAATAACCCTTTAATCATGCAAACTAATCCTGGGGCATACATATGAATCGTTTCCCAAAACTCACTGCAGCATCCTTATGTCATTATCCATA